AATAGTCAACTTGTCACCATCTAGTGCGCAAGCTGTAAACACCGTGGCGTTGTCGGCTCCAGCAATTAGATGTCGAGCCCAGTAAGCGCTGGGAAGACCACACTTGCGGACGTCGGGAATTGCGGGCACATTCGGAACAGGTATTTGGTTACTGTCGCTTTCTGTGCTGTACGAGCCAGCTGTCTCCTCGCAAGCAGACGTGCTTGGTTCCTGACGCCGAATTTTCGATGGTAGGCCGCAAGTGGATGTTCTTGACGCCCTTTTCTTCGGCACTTTCTTTGAAAGATACGCAGGAACATTTGGGAATATAGTTGGCACCGCGTCAGATTTCAGCACCGGTTTCCCTCGGGGAATCTGAACAGTTTCGCCGTTTATCACATGCGTGTAAAAACGCTCAATAAACTGCTCGTCGAAATGAAGCTCACATAGCGCCGACTTCACGTCCAACGACTTGTCGGCACGGGGTACGGCTCGTTGCCAGGCTTCGAAGAGGGCAGGGTCTTTGGGAACAGAGAAAAGAGAAGCACGCTGACCTTGCTCCCTCGATGACACATAGCCGCTCGTGCAGCCAGGAGCAAAGCAGTGGCGTTGCCTCGCTTTCGTAGTGCTGGAGTTCATCCTAAGGTCGGCACTCACACTGTCATGTCAGCAACTAAATACATTTTGCCATAAGCGAGACATCAACGCGGAAAACTGCACACACCCAGACACGCTTCCAGAGGCGAACCAGCGAACCCAGCGGCGAGTCGACGAGAGAGCGCGGAGCGCGCGCTTTGCCCGCATCACTATGCCGACAGGAGCGCCGTGGTGGCCGTCGCGGCGGCGCTTGAAAACGAGGATCGCGCGCGCTCGGCGAATATGCGGGCGCTGGCGTCACCTCCCAATTCTAGCCACCATATCACCGTAATTGGCGCAAACAGCCAACGGGGACAGATCCAATCCAAGCCAGTGGAGCAGTAGTGCCAAGGTTGACAAGTTTGGCCTTTTTTTCTCCGTGGCCTGGCAACCTTGAGCAGTGCGCGCTGGGCATGCTGGGTATACACTTTTGTTGTTTTGGACCACCTCTTCTGTCCGCCATGTTTTGAACGACGGAACCTTCTCGTGGCGGTGTGTTTTCATCGTTTTTTTTTTTTTTTCTGAAGAGAAGCCTTCTCACTGACTTCTCATGTCGGCGGCGAGAAAGTGCTCCTTTAATTCGGACTGGACGAACCCGAACGTTTCGGAATATGCAAGCTGGATTAAGCCCGTGCAGAATGATCCTCACAGTGCTCATTGCACACTGTGCTGAAAACCGTTTTCTTTAAGCAACATGGGAGGAACTGCAGTTTCCAGTCACGCGTTCAGCAAGAAGCATCTTGCTGGTTTGAAGTGTCGGTCGAGCGCCTCGCAAACTGGTATGTTGTCCTTTTTTACGCCAGCGACGAACGCTTCGGCCAAATGTAGCGAAGACCGGACAGTCGCGCCCGAGGAGCCTGCCCCCACCACAAGTGCGAAGACATCGATGAGCGGCTTCCTTCTGAAGAGCGGTGTGACAAAGGCCGAAATAATGTGGTGCTTAAACGCGGTAGCGACTCACGGGTCTTTTCGGTCAACAGCGGCGTCGGCCTCACTCTTCCTTCTCATGTTTCCGGGATGTGAAGTCGCTGAAAAACTTCATCTAGGGAAGGACAAGGTAGGGTATACAATTTGCCACGTTATTGCGCCTTACTTTCGTAAGAATCTTCTATCAAGCCTTGCTGGTGTGCCGTTCTTAGTTGTTTCATTTGACGAGTCGCTGAACAAAGTGACCCAGAAGCAACAGATGGATGTGCTCGTCCGATATTGGGATGACACTACTGATGACACTGTGAAAACGGAGTACCTAACTTCATGCTTCTTGGGGCACACGTGTGCGGAGGACCTGGCATCTGCATTCAGGAAAGCCACAGAAGAGCTCGAGCAAGCCAAGGTACTACAAGTTTCAATGGATGGGCCGAATGTGAACATGAAGTTCCTGAGGTCACTGAAGGAGGAACTCAAGGAGTTCAATGAGAGTCACAATATCCTAGATATTGGAAGTTGCGGGCTGCACGTAATGAATGGAGCATACAAGGCAGGTCATGCTGCAACTGGCTGGGATGTGATAGGCTTTCTTCGCAGTAGCTACAACTTGTTCAAATGTGTGCCTGCACGTCGTGCTGACTACGTCACCTTTACAGGAAGTGCACTATTTCTCCTCAAATTGTGTGCTGTGAGGTGGCTCGAAAATGGGAAGGTAATCACCAGGGCGTTAGAACTTCTTCCTAACCTGGTGAAGTTTCTGGAGGGCTCTGTGAAGGCAAAGAAGCAGCCTACATGCTCTAGCTACAGTGCTGTTGTGAACGCAGTGAGGGATCAGCTGTTGCCAGTAAAACTGGCCTTCATGCTGTCAATTTGTGAGGAACTGGAACCATTTTTGGCAGAATTTCAGACTGACAATCCAATGGTGCCCTTTCTTTCAACTGCACTGCCGAATATACTGCGGTCACTGCTTGCAAGGATTGTCAAGAAGGAAGTGCTTGTTGCTGCAAACAAACCCGCGAAGTTGCTCAAGATTGACTTAGAGAAGCTTGAGAACTGTATACCCGTACCTACCTTCGACAATGGGTTCGCTGCGAAGAATGAGCTCCGCAAGGTGCCCAAAATGCCACAGCTTACTTTGCACCAATTCAAGAAAGACTGTGTTTCCTTTGTTAAAGCGTGCTGTCAGAAGGTGGTGGAGAGGTCACCATTGAAGTACAAGCTAACAAGGGGTGCCAGCTGTTCGGACCCCACATTTGCATTGTCTCCAGAGGCTGGCTCAAAACGATTGACCCTGGCACTTGAAGTGCTGTCAGAGCAGCAGTGGATGACTGGTCTGCAAGCAGAGCGAGCCCATCGTTCTTACATAGAGGTCTGTTCATCGAGCCTCAACCAAGAAAAATTGAAAAATTTTGACAGGAAAGAGCAGAGGCTGGACGTTCTGTGGCCAGATCTCTGCTCACATGATCACAAAGAGCTGCTGTCTTTTATCAAGATCATCCCTTGTTTGTCTCACGGCAACGCTGCCGTAGAAAGAGGCTTCTCGGTCAACAAAGAATGCCTTGTCGAAAACTTGAAAGAAGACTCGCTGATAGCACAACGACTGGTGCATGATGCCGTGTTGGCGGCAGGCGGCGTGGAAAAAGTTCTAATTACTGACAAGATGCTGCAGATGGTTCGGAATTCCTGCAGCGTCTTCAGAGAGGAACTGCAGAAAAAGAAGGCAGAAAGACAAGTGGAGTCAGGTGTTCAGAAGAACAAGAAAAAAGTGGCTGCTCTTGTCAAAGAACTGGAAGAAAAGAAGCGAAGGCTGCTTAGTGACTCGCTGACGGAAGCTAGTCTCCTGCAAGAAAAAATAGATGCTCTTAAGAAGTAACAGATGAGTGCTTCAAGAACTCTTGTGCAGTGGCTGACACAAACAGCAGAAGCCGATGTGTGTTTGCATAGACTTTGTGCAATAATACTCTAGTCAGCGGCTACAATTTGCGGTGAATTATTTATGTTTGCGCTCTAAATAAAACAATGTTTTGTCGTCTGCACTAAGGATCTTACATGTATTGCCGCCTATGCAGAGGTCAGGGAATTTCACTTGAAATTGTCAGGTAAAACCTGGAAAAGTCAGGGAATCATAAAATAATTTGCTAGACACCCTGGGTTTTGTCAGTACATAGCCAATTCGACCATTTGACTGTATGCGTATTGGTTCAAATTGCACAGTTAACACATTCGTCTGCAAACATGCTCAAGCTTGACACCTTGGTGGTGAACCATGACCACCCAAGATTAATCATAAAATTGGCCAGAACTTCCACGGATCTGTAATTGACCGTTATGCTTCAAACATTAGGTACTTCAAACTTAGGTACAACGGCTCGGTATGACATAATGGCCAGTAGATGTCGTGTTATTCGTGCATAAGTATGCGGGAAACGTCGAATAAATGTTTGCTTTCTCCCAGCGGTATTTTCGCAATTCATTCATGAGGGGCACCTTATATCACAGCTGTAAAATGTGTATCTTTTCTCACACCATTAAAATTCATTCAGCCTACGGTGCTTTGTACCACAAGGGAATGTATAAATAAATGCTTATACAAGTTGCAAGTAAACAAAGTCGAAGTGCTTCATCACTTATATTCATTGATTAATTTGTGCACACGAACTTCTTTAAATTGCCTGGCCTAATTAAAAACGAGTGTTTTCATTTGGCAGTTCCAATTGAACCAAATGGCTCAATCGGGTATTCAATTTTCCAATTTAAGGTATGCTTCTAATTCGTTCAAGTGATACCATTGGGCAACTTCAGTTGGTTCAAATGGTCCAGTTAGTGAACCCATCTGGCCCAGCTGGAATTGAGCACATCTTCTTAAACCATTTTCAAGTGGTCCTGTTAGGAGTCGATTGGCCCAATTGGAAACCGCTATTACAATTTGGACTCATTGATATTTTCAAATGGTTCCAATTGTTTGTTTGTTTGTTTTCAACTGGGTGGGCCTGCTTCAGTGTCAATCTAAACAACTAGCGATGACATTGGGTACTAAAACATACAAGATGGCTGCTCACTTATCACGAGTAAAGAAATTGTGGAAATATCACAATATCTCTCACAGGCACAAGACAACAACCTTGTAGTATTGTCTAACATCAGAGTATGGTGGGAACCAAAGTTGGCAATTAAAAACATGTAATTAATCTTTCGAAGTGTACTGGCACTTATCAATACATTCATTTCATGCCAAAAAGTAGCAGTACTAAGGCCGTCGTGTCAATTTCTCGGTTATTACCTTCTAATACAAACATGGAGATCATAAAACATTGACTGCGCTGGTGTGGCACACCAAGCCATGCCTCCTTGCCCCTTTGTGTTCGTCCTTGCTGTATTGTCTGTGTCAATGTTTTGCTGTGTATTTATCTCTGTAATTATACCATTTATTGAGAAAATAATTTGCTTTACCTACTCAGAAAAATTCAGATGGAAGCTGCCCGCAAGGCCGAGGAGAAAGCAAAGCAGCTGGAAGATGCTCGAATGGCGGTAAGAAAGCTGTTGTAATCACCGTATCAAAAACTCATGGATGGAAAATTGCTAAATGAGAAATTTATGCCAATTAACATAATAAGTGCACAATAAAATAATGTTTATTCACTGCACAAGCTTACACCATGTAGATATGTCTGTTGGCTTCGTTAAACATGTACTGTCGCACTGAGTTTATTTTCTCTCGCAAAAAAGAAAGTGTCATCATTGCCTTTTGCTGTCCTGTTCTTTTATGGAGTGTATGGGTTTTAACTATGACAAGTACAGTAAAACCACACTGGTGCATTTTCATCTCTTATGATTTTCTCACAGCCTTTCAACTGTAGGGAAATCATAGGATTTTCCCTCAGTGCTTTTCGAAATGCATTAAAAGGATACTGATGCGGTTTCGCAATCGCGAGATTATTGCGAATTTAGTATCTGCAACATCTTACAACATGCCTGGGACGATTTTTATGCGATTTTCTACTAAACAATGGCACTATAAGTGAGCAAACTTTGACTGAGGCAACCCCCCATCCACTGGCGCGCGCGGAGTGCAGGGGCGGAGTACGGGAGAGATAGACACGCGAGGAGGTGACGTCATCGAAGGAGCGTGCCGCCGGGCCGCCTGCGTCACTTAGTCAGCTCAGTGGCACAACGCTTAGCCTTCGGGATTCTGTGCTGTTTCTGGTGCGATCTACTGCTTTGCGAAGCGTCACTACTGCCAGTTTGTAGAGAGTTTTTGCCATTGCACCATCCTTTTCTTCTAATTAGAGATTTTCGCCATCTTACATTCACTGGTTGTGCTTGTGCGGGGTCGCAATGGACTTGTGATGCCGAAATGCTGTGCGGTATATAGCTGCCGCACCACTTTCTGTTGCAACCTGGTCTCGTTTCACAAGTTTTCTCGGGATCAGAAGATGGCTTGAATGGGCTGCCGCAGTTAAAATACAAGAATTCAGACCTGGCAGAGAGTCCCTGGGTTTAACGATTAAGTGTGTGTGACTTAACAGCGACATGGTTAGTTCTTTCTGTGTTTCCATACTTGAGGGTGCCTTTGCGAAAGAAAAACTGAGACAAGTATGTAAGACTACTTATGTGCCATGACAGTTTGTTGGTGAGCAAGCGCTTACCACAGCCAGGATCAGCTCACTGTGCTGCCTCGCTTCTTCAACGCTCATTTTGAATCTCTATGAAATGCGCGAATCGCGAGCTGTTATGGAGACACCATTTATTGTAGTATTGCTCAATTTGGGACCCTCAGTTTTATGTGTTAATGTGCTTGGCTTTTGATAAAGACTAACACATCTACTTGAAGGGATAGATTTAGCCACATTATTGCCAAAGATATTGTATTGTGCTTGCCAGTCGTAATTCTGTAAAACAATTTAAAGTAGCCCAGAATTAGTACAGTGCATCACTGCAAAGCACATTGTATAGCAGCTGTCAGAGAGGAGATGGAATCCTTTTTTCATTTCCTAGTGACAAGGCGTGACCATCCTCTTCATTGAAACATAAGACCTACGAAATGTTTATTTATAAGACCTTCAAAGTATTTGAGCTAGAATAGAAGGCGCTTTCTTGTTCATTTGCTTGGACATTTCTGTGCATATAATCTGGGTGTGCGAGTGTAACTTAAAGATTGTGCATACTGGTAAGTCAAAAAGTTGAGTTTGGATTCCCCGTTAAAAATGGGGCTTCGTTTTTTTTTTTTTTTTAATCCAGTTTACACTTTAATTACTACACAACAGTTGCAGACTTGCACTTTCCTTAGCTAAGTTCTGTGTTGGATTTATTGGGTTAGGTCTCTCGTTAAGCGTTGAAGTTCACAAACAAACCTTGTTGCTATTGGCTTTGTGCACTTAACATGCTTCACAAACCAACGTCGGTGACCTTTTGCCCTGCTTACTGTTTTTATCTACGTAACACGTGTTAAGAGCACAGTAAAGAAAAATGTCAGATAAGGAAAAGGTTTGTTTGTGCCCTGAGGCCTAGTCATACGAATCGGTTAAGAAAGTTCAACTTGTGCATGTTCCTAGCAGTGTAAAGTGCTGGGCCGAGGCACAGTATTGGTGAGCCGTAGAGACGGTATTTATGTCTAGCTACCAATGTCTAGACACTGGCAAGTGTGTTGTAATAGCATGGCTAAGATTCTTTTTTTTTTTTTTTCATCCAGCAAGTATTGCAAGAGAAACTCCTCCTGGAACAGAAGGAAGAGCACGTGAGGTGTGTTCAGATGTCCTAAAGAGTCCGGAAACCTTCAGCACTGAGCCATTTCCTTGTCGTGCAGGAACCAACTAATTGAGCAGGAGTCGCGGGACCATGAGCTTGCCCTCCGGCTCGCCCAGGAGAACAACAGTGTGGTGGAAGACGTGGGAACCCCAGTCTTGCCAGTTAGGTGCGCCTTTCTTTGTCTACATCTTCGCTGTGTCGTCTAACAACCTTCTCTCCTTGGTGGGCAGGTCACAGGCCAAGGCTAAATCGGAAGGCAAGTTTGACTTGTCCAAGTGGAAGTATTCTGAGCTAAGAGATGTCATCAACACCTCATGTGGTAAGTACAAAATTTTCACTCAAGCATCAACTGCTGCTTGTTACCACGCTTGAGCATGTGACAGCAATACTACCTGAAAGCTATTGTAAATCACTTGAACGTAAGCAGTTGCTGTCGAATCCGCTTGTAACAATCCCAGAATTATCACCAAATTGGACATATCAGTGAGCAGCCGCTTGACTGTGAGTTATGCAGGTCCATAGCCAGGATAGGGGGATGGCTTAAAATTTGGGTGGAGGACCAAGGTAGTATAAAAATAGGTGTTTTCCGAAAAATTCAAGTGTCCTTCCTTTGAAAAAAAATTCGTGGTTACAGGCCTGGGTTATTGTATGTCTTCTTGTGTTATACAGTTTCTTACAATGTTCTTATCGCGCATTATAGCAACAACTAAATGTGGTTCTGCTGTTGATAACCTTGAAAAAAGAAACCTGAAATACCAGCCAGAAAGAGTTAAGAGTAACTGTAGCTGGTATGGAGCCAGTTTTCCAGCCTAGCAAACACCAATTGATTGTGCCAACAACATTTTGCACCAGTGATTCGATTGTGCTTTATGAGCCATATGAAAAAAAAAAAACAGCATTTATGGGATATGTTATTGGCAATATGTTATTTTTGAACAAAATATATAGTGCTTGAAATGTCCCGGTGGCAGAGACCAAACCTGCAACCTTCGAATTATGTGGTTCTTTTTAATATGGTACTTTAAGAAAATGCCGCTCGCATCTTTTCAGGGGAGGAACTTGAGTAAGTGGGTCACAGAGTGGTGGGGGTATCGCATGAATATTGCGTGATTGGGTATGGTTTAGGAATGCTTAATTGTTATTTCGTCTTTATTATTCTTGTTTATTGATTGAAAGAGAAGCGTTGCTTTTTACAAGTGGTGGGATGCTGGTGTGCGATCTTGCACCTACATATATGGTGTGGTGACTGAACAGTTGTGCAGCTCAAGTAGTCGTTTTTTACTAGCAGACGCTGCCTGCAAGGGCAAGGCGCAAGAGGAGGGGAAGGTGGGAGAGCGCACAGTTGGCACAAGACGTAAGCATGCAGCACGATACGCGAGGCACGAGCATGCGAAGTGGGAGTATGGACAGGGCCGACACACAATACATGACATTGTGCGACTTAAACATGCTCCGCATTTAAGGGAGTAGACTGGTCTTAGACATTTTATTGTTTATTTCTTCAGTGATCTTGATAAAACTGCACAGGATTATGCAGTTTTTTCTGCTGATTACCAATATTTAATTTGTTTTTCTGTAACTCATTTTGTTCCTGAGATAACTTAAGTTCACCCTCTATTGTTTAAGGCCACCATAGAAAAAAAGTGCGTAATAAAAGTGATATTAAATATATGCCAGCATAGACTAATGACTATAGGCTGAAAGCATGCAAGATTTTTTTTTTTTTTTTTTTTTTAGGCCTTGGTTATTTTACAGCAAAATGAACTACCCATCTTGAAAATCAGAATTGTGTTAAAATTTTGATGACTAATTAATTAAAAAGGCTTGTACTCTAAATTCTGCTCCTATACTTGCAGTCTACACACGCATAGGTTTTCATTGCAAAAAGAATTATTGTTGCACCAGCCCTGGCTGCAATGACATTAAGGCCTCAAAAGAGAACTGTCGTAAATTTACTTTTTTTTTTTAGAAAAATTATGGTGCGCATGTTTTGCAATCCGATTTATGAGCACCTTTATAGGTGCTCATAAATTGGTAGCAGAGCTTCTAACACAGGTGGCAACAAATTATAAAGAAACCTCGAAGTCGGTTGCCCATTTAGAGAACGCAGCAGGTACCATATCCGCCATTTTGATGCTGGCGAGGCTTGACCACTACGCGCGGGCGACACACATGCGAACGTAGGCGTTTCAACGCTTCGACTGTCGCAGTCAGATTTTTTTTGCTGGCGAAATGCCAGTACACTGCTGTGTGCCGCTGTACAAGCAGCGCGGAGTCACAGACAGCGATGGGAGCAAGGTATGTGGCATGAATTACGATTTTGCAGTGATCACTTAAACACAAAACAGGGTATGGCGTGCACAAGCTTTACGGGCACAGTCTTGGATGCATGTATCTCCACGGTGTGCGGGCTGCACGAGAGCAATGCAGGACTAACCATTTTTCTGTGTTACGCGAACAGGCTGTGTTTTTATAGGTTTGTCAGCTTTGGGGCTAGGTGTTTTCACTACGTCGTGCCTCTACACGACAGTGGTGCTTTTCAATTTACCGTCTTGAACTCGCTGAGAAGCTCTGCGGCATTCAAATTTTGTTATGACTTCGGGAAAGCCTCGGACTACCCGGGGACCGACTATCCACGGTGAGTCTGAGATGGTAAATCGAAGAGCCCTGGTGATTCCCTGCCGTCGAATAGAGAGTCCGCCACTGCTGGTGGGGTAAATAGTGTGACAGAACCGAACTGTTAGGACGGGCTTTTTTGTGACGAGATTTCACCATGCAGGTAGACAACGTAGAAATGTTATTTTTGAAGGTGATTGCGCACAGAGACGTGCAGAGCTTCCGCTACTCCGAGTAACATGCCGTACACGCATCCTAGAAAGGCAGCTCGGTTGCTTGTCCGCGTTCAAGCTCCGTTGTGTCCGCAAGTACGGTCACCTTGCAGCAATAAAACTAATTTTCATTTACCAACGAAATAAAATCGAAAAGATAGTGGGGTGCACTGCCGTAGGTTTCGAAAACTGGCACCATGAGTATCGCTAGGGCTTGACTGAATGACGTTCTGCATGAGTTCAGAGCGCGGCAGTCCTATTTATTCGTAAGGCAGGATTCATTCTCTGCATTTTAGCCTCTTTGGCTCAGTTGCGTTGCAGCTGTTTTTTTGTGTTGCAACTCACCTCACTTGAAAAATGTTTCATGTTGCATTATAAAACAGACAGTTGTGGAGACAGCCATAACTTAGTTGTATGGGATTCAGCATTTTGGCTGCCTTACACTCGCAGCTCCTAAAAACATTTGAATCTACTTAGATATAAAAAATAACTGATTTAAATTTCCCCGAGTGTCCACAAGTGACTAATGCCTCTTAAGGCTTGCTGTGAAGGGCCATATCTAGGAAAGGCTGCTAAGAAATGGGAGTGTGCACAGAAAAAAACTGAGGGGGAGGGGGTCACATTGCAAGTGCATCATTAGTCCTGCAATGCACATATAAGTGTGACCTCTAGTCCCTGTGAGATGAATTTGTGATAGTGCCTGTGTTTGTAAACAACAATCATTTAAACAGCTAAGAGAAACCTAGCTCATGACGTCGCACTGAATGTTTGTTTGCTTATATCTTGTAGGTATCCTTCCACCGCTTTTCGAAAGATGCAATGACATACAAGTGGCAAGATGTGGCAAGATTCCTAAACAGTTTGTCAAAATGCCCAGTGTTGCCCGAGCACAAAGCAATTTCGCATATGGTCCATTTGGACAGTTAGAATGGCATTACAAAAAAAAAAAAAAAATACCGCTTTCTGGTGTGTGAAAACTTGCAAAGAGATAGAAAAGTACTTGCAGAAACCAAATATGTCAATTTTAAAAAATGGATTTTTTTGTCACTTTGTGGTCCCAAAGACCACTCTGCCCCCTTAAAATAAAAATAGGCCCTTCAGATTCCCTATGTTCCTGGAAAGGACAACTGCCTTTGTAGTGTACATGTATCTCGTAGGAGTGCGGCCACTAGTGTGGGTTCAGTACGGCCACTAGCGTGCAACAGGGCTGCGTTCACCGTCTCCTCACGTGACTGGCGCCACTGCACACGTGCAAGGCGCTGACCGCACCGCAGCAACTAAACAGTACTGCTCTCAACAAGTCGCAACACTTTATTGCCTTCGGCAACACCAAAAACGCAGTACAATGCCCGCTGCAAAAGGTGGCTGGCTTATCCATGCCACGAGCAAAAGTGCAACACGAAGGGTGCCGCAAGCACCTCTCCTTGGGTAGGCGGTGGCACACTGCTGAGGGAAACGTGCCTTCACAAATATGCTGCGCGCTGTGATGATCAGGGACAACAAGGCCTGATTGCTCAAGCGAGGGTGAACTCCGCTCATGTTGGCTTCTAGAGGAACGGATTGGCGTAGTACGACCACGCGTGAACGAACCACATTGCTTTTTAGCCTAGTGCTCGGAAGGGACTACGAAAGGTAATCGTTTGCTGTGGAGGTAAGGCACCGTTGGCGAGTCTGAGTGAGCTCCAAGAACAAAAGAAGCCGACGGACGGAAAGAACAGGCATGCTCATCTTTCGATGTCCAGAAAGGATCTCTCACTCCCGCCTGGCGCGTGCACAAAACATCTGAGGAGACTTGAGCCCAACGCCACCGTAGACATCCGATACAAACCAGGGCCGGGTGAGAGGGGTAAACGTCACTCCCACTCTCCCAGCAATGACGGACCGCAGAGAGGGGGAGAGTCATGTTAGGACATTAAAACCGCAGAAATAGGCGAGAAAGGTCATAGCGGGCTAGCCTCGATGCCCGCACCTTGCAAGGAAAAGGAGGCTGCAGGTGTGCACCACCATCTTGTCATGCACACCATGACAATATGGGTGGTATTGACCATCAAGGCCGTTGGTGTTGGCTGCCCCATTTGTCTCTTTTTGTTTAGTGCTACTTTATTGAAACATTAGTCATAACAAAATTATTTTTGTTGTACTTGAATATCATTAAAAGCAGTTATTTCAACTGCACTTTACTTTCTTTCACATTTATGTACCAACCATTCATTTGTCTACTCACACAAAAAAAAATAATTTTTGGTGTGCTCTTGCATGAAATGGAACAGCTCATAATTAGAGAAATTGTTCCGATTGACTGTCTCATGTGTTGTCCCTGAGATCCATAATGCTGCATGTCACAGGTCATTAAAGGAACCATGAAACTTTGCTAATCTCAATGAAACTGCAGTAGAAGCCCCAGAATGCATGGTTAGTCATGCCATATACTGTGGACTTTTGAGAGTACGCTTAAAAATTTACTCAGAAAGTGCTGCTCCTCTCACTTGGAATGCATCAGAAAGAGGATAACTTACCACCTGTTGTGAAATGGTGCCGCACTGGATGCATTTCTTCCACACACTTTTGTACCTAACAGCACAGAAAGGTGCCGCAATTTCTTCACAGGATAAAATCAAAATTCTGTGTAGGATTCATGAGCCCTTGAAATAAGTTCCTATCTGCAGTGTACTAAACCATATGCTTCAAGATCTGATTCCAAACGGTGTTGTTTCTCGGGGGTGTCAGTAGATATTGTCGCTATAGTTTGGGGTTGCCACAGTGATTGCGCTCAGAACTTTGCTAGCGGCATCGGTTAATTCAACTTGAAAATTTTGGTATCATGGTCTACTTAAAGTATTAACAAACAAATAATCAACCATAGCTAGTACCAGTCACTTCTTCTAAAGACAAAAAAAGATATGCAACACCAAATGCAGTAGTGATCTGTCGCAACATTTGGAGGCCCACTTGTGTTGTTTCGAGGGTTGCATGTCTGCACGCAATGTTCTTCTGCAGTGCAACCAGCTGCTGTGGCAGAGGCAGTGAATTTGTGGAACATTGGTTGCCATATCAAACGAGAAATGCCAAAAGGCCAAATGCATTGCAGAGGCTGCACAACTTGCTATGAAGGGGAGGAAACAAATACAAAGCTCGGAGCTGTCAAACCATGGGCATTTTTGAGGCTGCCACTTTCCTTCACTGCAGGCAGGTTACGGCAATGCGTGCAGAAAGCAAATGCATATTCTATGACTGTCAAGTAAAAAGAAAATAATTTATGGAAATATGGATAAATGAGTGACGTGTACTGCTTGCGGTGCACTTGCATAAGATTCAGGGTCACTTCTTTGGGAAAGTGCAGGCAAAATGCTAGGTGTGTGAAAATGCAGTCATATCATTTTGACACTTGCAGGACCGGTTACAGTGCAATATTTTTCGACTCCCTTTTATCCTTCCGTAGAACCCCAGGTGTACGCATACCGCTTATTGTGCAGTCCCCCAAGATAATACCGGTTATAATGCGGTTGTCAGAAAACAAACGTGGTAACGAGCGCATTTCCTAAAGGAGTGGCGCTAGGTGCGTCACTGTGGAGGAAGTGCAGGAGATGTGGTGTGAATGAACGAAGGGCTGAGGGCAGAAAAAGAAAAGGAAAAAGACCCTGTCAGGCTATTCTGTCAGCAGGCTACCCTGTCGCACAGCAAATATTATGCCGCGGCATATTGCCTGCATTCAAACAATGCGCCCATCACAGCGCGCACAGGGACATACATGCGCGCCGTCTAGTGTTGCGCAAAGACGATGATGATAGCACGAGAACCCAGCTGGCCCCGGATGATGTGCGCCACGCGCTTGGGACTCCTCTTGAAGAAGTAGAAGGAGACATCTTTGGTGTTCTGCTGTAACGTGCTACGACCATAGTCCCTTTGAGTTGGGGGCACAGGTTCGCCCTTTAATAAGTACGTTTTATTAAACCCCAAGTCCTTCAACATCGTTACAATATGATGTCATTTACAGCGATTGTCATTCGTTTGTAATGTCATTTGTTTGCTGTCACATGGGGAAACTAATGCCATTTGATGAAAATGACACTTTCTGTCGAATGAGTTCCCCAAACACATTCGCATTCGATTTCGGAACAAATGAGCAGTCTCGACGCCAGGTACTGGAGATAACTGCTAACTTATGTATACGTAACATTTATTATTTATAAATGTCTTATTCGTTACTACACTGGTTCTCAGCCATAGATGTGTCGGGGACCTCTTGTGGATTGGTGGAAGTGATGGGGAACTCCTTGCAGTGGAGGGGAAGGAGGGGGGTACGTAGGTAAACTAACACAACTAGAGCGTGAGACAGAAGCCTTTTATTTCTACCAAAATCATCAAACAAACATGCCACATCACTCCATTTTATTTCAAAGTTTAAAAAAATATTTAAAAAGTGGGTTAGGGTTTCGCAGACCAGAGAAATGGCTTTACGGACCCCCATTTGACAACCACTGCTTTACTAGATCAACTGATTACTGGTTTGATGACATAATGGCACGCACAAATGTTACTAAAAAAAAAAAAGAAAGGCTACTTTCAACAACAGTGGCTAGACACAGGCAATGTTTCATTTGTGCTCCTTTGTCGTTGTTGACTATATGTGGATGTTGATCGTCCGATCGCGTGTGTTGTGATGACCAAGGTGGTAACTACACGATATCGCTGCCACCGTCTCATTTCTGCAGCCGGGAGGGAAGTCAGTCATGCACCCTGCTTCAGTTCACTGTACTCATGCCTAGTCATATCGTCGGCCTTGTTGGTTTTCGAGTGTGTCATGCAGCTATGACAAGTTGCGTAAAGCGTCCGCGTTTATATTTTATGTCGGTTACAGCCTAAGAATAAGTGTAAGCTCTGCCCAGAGCGGTCACCATCCCACCCAGGCAGAATTCGCGTAAATTTCTTACTGAATAGCAGCTAGTTATTTACGTGACGTCAGACAGATTTCGCAGATTTCAGGCATATCACATCTACGTACAGGCTCATGTTCGTTTTACTAGTTTTTGGCTAAAAAATTTTACTTCCTGGCAAATTTTATTAAAAATTCTGACTTCTCTGTTCTGTGAAACATAATTTTTAACAGGGAACGACAAACTTTTACTTTATAATATGCGTGGTATTTGCATTACCAGCGAAACTGTGCTTATGGTTAGAATGGAAAAAGTGACTCATTCCTCTCTTGGACAAATGAATGACAGGCATGCTGCAGTACTGAAGGTGGTTTACCCATAGAAATTATTTTTGGGGGTACACGCATGTTACATGCAAGTGTTAGTCTATTTTTATTTCTCTCCAAATGTACGGCTAGTAGTCGTCACTTCAATAGGACATTTGTTTTTGTCGTGTGACAGCACGCAGCAAGGCCAGAAATTACTGCCAAAAACGGTGCATGCCTTTACATAAGCTTGGCGGACTTTTCTAGTTTTTAATGCTGTTATTGATTCGGTGCTTGAGTACGATCTTTTTGGCGCCCAAATTTTATATGTTGGGCAAACTTACTGCGACAACATGCCAGGCTAGGCCTAAACAATGTTGGTTGCAGTTTGGTCACTCTTTATGGCAAGGAAAAGATCATTAATGAAAACGAAGGTGGCACACACGAATGGTGTTTCGTGATGTCTTGAACTCGGGTGTGCGCCCATGAAATGGAATGATCGGCGTCTTTCTGCAAGCAAAATTCGGATATAGTTTCCATGTAATATGCATAATCCATGAGAAGTAGTCGGCGAATTTCCGCAGTGGTGCTTTCTTTTGTTAACCTTCGCCTAACCCATTTTGCGTTCATTTCATTGGCAACGCGGATCTTCGCATGCTGAATTTCTTTAACGTTCAGAAATTGAAATGGTTGTATGCAACACACATTGCATGCTTTGGTTCTTGCACATGCGAGGTTGCATGCTGATCACATCATACGTGACTGCAGCCCTTGGAAAAGGTTTGTTTTGGTTACATTGCAGTTATTCGTACCTCCTGCGACTTACGGTAAGTGGTCTATACTTTCATTTGTATTTAATCAGACACTTCCTTGCTCCAAGTATTGACTGTTTGTTTACTGTCTACGAACTGTAGCCATAGGCCTACTTATATCATCTTATTTTTAATCTTTTTTGCCCAGGATGCATTCTAATTGGTAATAAGCAAGCATTGTCGCATTTTTCAGACCTGGAGCTTCTGGCAGCCTGCCGTGAAGAGTTTCACAGAAGGCTCAAAGTGTACCATGCGTGGAAGAGCAAAAATTCCAAGAAGGCTGATGCCCCGCAGATCAGAGTTCCTGTTTCACTCCAGAATCGAGGTAGGAGACCAGACGAGTTGCTTCAATTATTGTTTATCCTGGCATATCTTTTCCCAGCTTAAAGACAACAATGTTCTGCATATTTGCTGCTGAAGTAATAGACAAGACAGCCTTATCCGGTCATTGCATGTCGATGTCTTTCTATGAGGACCTGATTTGTCGTCTTCATTGTGTATATGTACTTCTGCAACATGTGTTCGCATGAAACTCATTTTGTACGACATGTGTTGGCACGAAACTGATGTAGCTGCTAGAAGTTAGTGTTTTGTTTAATACGTTGGTGTTTTGAGAACTGCTGTGTTATTTTCGCAATGATAGATAAATGGTTTCCTGTCAAACTAATCATGGTAGGTAGGCATTCAGCCACATTTCTGAAAATGAAATTGATGCTGTGTGGCCGCAGCAGGAACCACCTAGCGGGTGTAAGCTGCAAGGAGTAAAATATTTTTTCCTCCTTGGTGTTTATACAGGCCCATAAAAACCTTTAACCTCCTAAGTTTCAAGAATGCACCAATGAAAAAAAGCTTTTGCAAAACTGTACCAATTGATTCTCTGTCCTTAAAAACAAAGAAAAATTATGAATTCGAAAAATTGAACAGTTGTCTTAAGATGTGATGATACCCATCTGTGTACTTCTGATCTTTTGAAGTCTCTGTGCAACAAAAATATCAGACCAAGATTACTGTCACTATGATCTACAAGGCATCCACAGTTAAAAGAATGTGCTACTACAGACGTCGTTCACGCTACAACCAAGACAAAAAGCTCTCGCTTATCGCAAGGACGCATCCGAGCGCTCGTGCAGTCATTTTCGCTTGCTCGTTTTGGGAATGTGACTAGACACATGGCACCACTTCTCATCCTTATTGTGCAAAGACAAATTTCGACACACGCAGACATCAAATTGTGATGATCTGGGGCCTTTAAAGTAACGGTACCCAATTGAATACCCAGGGACCGAGAAGGTTAAAGTTCTTCAATTTGAAAAGCACATTTTCAGTGCCCTTGATGGTCTTGGATGGAATGCTGTCTTTGAGAACCCTTGAATTTTTGGACTAGTGCAGTCTGAAGGCCACAGTTTGACCTGCTTTCTGTTGTGGATTAGCATCGATGCACCAAACTTTTTATTGCAGAAGCAATATGCCATGTTCGTTAGCAAGCCTTCTCTCATCGTTCTTCTCACTCTCCACCCTTTTGTCTGTCTCTCTTCTTATGACTTCACTCTTGGCTCCTGCATTTGTGCTGCTTTTTTGCCTGTCAAGCAAGTGATGCATGTGGTTAGTACATCGCAACAATGTCAAGCCTTAGCAATACTGGAGAAGTCTCGGCACCTGTCCTAAACATTTGTTGTGTCTCTGGGAACTACAGTTAACCCCGCTTACTAAGAACCTTCATATAACGAGTTTCTAAATGTTGCCAAGTTCTATTCTCGTGCCATTACTCCATAAAAGCAAATGTTCTTGTGACCTTTGTGTAACAAAGTAACAATGGAAGAGATTCTTGATATAACGAATTGTCGGCACGGACAACCTAGGAATTTCGCCATTTTAGCATGAGCATTCATCTTCCTCGGTTGCCCTGCCGCCGACGAAGCTTGATGCGGAGACATTGTTTCGAGCTTTTATAATAAGCGGGTCTCACTGTTGTAATGAACGTTTACGTCAAGTGAAAGTAATTTTGCACAGTAAAAACAGCTGTGTTGCACCCTTATGCAAGACTGTGACTGCGAGTGTGACAAGGGCAGGAGATCAGCTGTATGTTGACCAGGAAAAGTTCCCACTGACCGAAAATGGGAAAATATCAACTTTTCAGCTGGCTAGATAGAGCTTGACTAGGTAACAACCCTGAGTTCATACGCATGTGATTGAGGCGTATGTTGAAGCACATGAACTTCCAGGACAATAAATTTTCCATTCTAAGACATCCTGTCTCACTTTCTACTTTTCCAATCGTCAACCTAGGGGAACACAAGTTCATATTTTGTACTCAATAATTTTTGCTTGATGTTTGGTTCGTGTAAGGGTGTTTTTTTTTCTTTTGGACAGAATTTGAAAGTCGTCGTAAGACGTGGGGTCGACCTAAAACTGTATTGTATTACCAAGGCTTTTATTACATTACTTCTATGGGGATTTTGCTGGGACCAAACTGATTTGTCGCGAGGCCAGGAGAGGTACAGTATAATTACAGTATAATTGAAGTTCCATTGTACATGATATATATAACAAATAAGATTAACTGCTGTGTGCAATTGACAACAACCCGTGTATGCCTGGTGTCACATGGGGAAACAGCTGAGCTAACACCAAACCTTCATCGTAACCTTCATCATAAACAAAAGGATAGCACTGTACTGGGTCTCCTCATTTGGTATGTGAAGATGTACTGACCTGCATATTCATGCTATCAGTCAGGGCACTCTGCAAGTCATGGAGGTAACTAGGCAAGCTACATTTTTTTTATGCAGATGACATGTCACAGTTATGATCTTATTCAGGCAGCGCACATTTGTCTGTTATGGTGAAAACCACTGTTAGCTGAGAAATGGCCTTGTGCAGTAAAGCATGCTGCCGTAGACCTGCACAACGTTAGTAAGGGTGCAACACTAATTCGCTGCGCTAGAATAAGGGCACTGATGTACATTAGGCCACACCTGTGAGATGATGCCACCACTGTCGTCAGTGTAAGGATGACAGGGTATTTAATGTCTATTTATGGCCAGCATTCTAGTCTCCTTGCATCGATTTTTTTTTGTTTTTATGGTGACTGGTTGAGTACTAATTATACTGTAGATAATCCCATTGCATAGCTGTAGTTGAAATGGGCCTCCCACTTGGGCGAGTGAGTACATACTTGATTAGGCTTTAGCGCGATTAAGACCAAGGCAAGAAGACTCACTGAAATCGCACTAAAGCTTATCCAAGTCGCATTAGCAGTTTGACTTTGTTTATCGAGAATTTGCTTGCATCCCTGCGAACCACTGGTCAGCTCATTTTTTAGATGCGCGCTTGGCTACCGACGTGTTCGCTGGAAATTTCGCCTTCTTGCTTGTCATGCGTGTAACTCGTAACAATGTCCCTCCGCCAAACTATTATCTTAAGATTCCCCTAGAAGCCGTAAAATTCTACAAGTACCTTGGCGTCTACATAACCTCGACACATACCTGGTCTCTACACATTGATAAGCTAATAGGCAATACTAACTGCATGTTAGGATATATCCGGCGAAATTTCTCTTCTGCTTCTTTCTCATTAAAATTAACCTTATATAAAACACTCATTAAGAGTAAAATCGATTATGCATCATCCATCTGGAACCCTCACTCTGCCACTCATATTCAATCGCTTGAACTAATCCAAAATAACACTGCTCGTTACATTTATTGCAATTACAGCCGAACATCAAGTGTAACCTTCTTGAAAAACTCCTTACTACTTCCTCCCCTCTCATCCCCACGTAAGTTTTTTCGCCTTGCTTTATTTCATACCTTATATTTCTACAATTTCTACCTGCATGAAAACCTTTTATCATCTCCTTTTTACACTTCTTCTTGCATTGATCATGTCCATAAGGTTGGGATAATGCACTGCCATAGCAGAACCTGTCATGAATCATTTATTCCCAGGACGTCTCAAGAATTGAACCACCTTCCCGGCACAATTGTTTCTATCAAGGACCACTCAAAGTTTCGCTTCGCTATTACGGACATCATCACTCCAGGGCTTAACTGACCAATTAATTTTTGTACTACCTAGTCATTTTTGCTGCTTTGTTTTTGTTTCACTTTTGTCTGTATTAACCATTTACCTCTATACTACTTTGGTCCTGAGGGTAAAATAAAATGAATGAAACGGAATGCTATTGCAGGCTCCATCTCACCGGGACCCCAAATGTTGAGCGAGGAAAATCGTCAGCGTTACTTCCGCATTCCCTTCCGCAAAGATGGAAGCAGCAGTGGCCTCTGGTTTGCTCACTTTGACGGCCAGTACATCGCTCGGCAGATGGAGCTGCATCCAGGCCGGCCCCCCGTTTTGCTTATCGCTGGTGAGCGCTTTGAAGCATGCACCACAATTGCCAAGAATAAGGAAAGTTTGCAAGAAAGGTCCCTATAGTTGCATCCACGCAATGCAAGCCATGAGTGCACTGCTCATTCGTGGTACTACTTGGCGGTTTGTGCATTGAGCCACACAACAATGCCATTTACTAGCTTGTTTTTCCACCTATAGGTGGCACTATAATCGGCAGACTCCTGTGATTTTGGTCAATGGCGTGTCGGCATTTTGATGCACCGAGCTTTATGGAGAGTTTTGCATCTCGCATTATTGAAAACATCTGCTCACCTATTTTACAAATGCTAAAAACATCCACACAAGAGAAGTAACAATATATTTCCCTCACATCAATTCTTCATTGGGTGTAGGATTTAGTTGCCAGGCTCACCATTATGTAAAAAGTGTCAACAAATGCAGTGCAAACTGCATTTCTTAGACCTCACTATGTCATGAACTTAAGCACTTTCTTTCTTGCTCTTAATTTTTATGTTTCTTTAACACATTGGCTCACCTTGAGAGTAATCAAGAGTTCAGTCTGTACAATGTAGTTCTGGCACTACAGGCCACGAGTGCATGATGGCACTTATGGCAATAACTATGCAACACCGCAATGCTCAATTTAGTCGAGTGCCTATTAAGTGCATACAGTGGAGTCCTCTTAAACGGAACTCGTAGGGACAAGAAAATTTGTTCCATTTATAAGAAGTTTTATTTAAAGCTCACGAAATGAATGAAATATGATCATATTTGAAAAGCACAAACTGTCGCTGACTGAACAAAAAGATTTTGAAGTATACAACACTACTATAGTTGATTAAAAAGAGAAATGTTGCTAATATTGCTGACTCGGAAAAATGAGGGGATAACGACTTGCTCGGCCTTGTTCAAGCACTTTCTCACATAGTAGGAGTGCATTGCTGAAAGGCTGGGCAGGAACTCTGTGCCACTATCGTGTTAAAAGTAGGCTGCAGCAGGATGACAGCATCTCTTGCTGCACTGTCAGCCACTGAAAAGAGCTCGGGATCACACACCATCTCATCACTACTTGAGCACAGGTCCTCATCATGAACTTCAGCTGTAGATTCCTCAAGGCTGTCCTCAAGTTCACCACGAGACGTCGATTGCTGCTCGGCGTGCACAATGATTGGCTTGGCTAGGCTAGGCTAGGCTAATTTTGGCATTAGTTTCATGGTTGCTAGACTGCCGTGGCCACTGCCGCCGTTCATGGATTTTGCTCGTTATAGTTCTATTTAACCGACGCAAGCGAAAAAAAATGTTCTAATTGTCCGAAAGTCTTTATCATTAAATATATAGGAGACCAACCAAATGTGCCTGGACAGTTTTGTTCATGCGACTTTTCCGTTTAATGGGAGTCCACTGAAGATTTCATTGCTCCTTTTCAAAATGTGGAATGCACCGATATCGTTGTATGAGTAGCTAACTCGTATAATTTTATCTCAATGGAAAAACCACATTGGTTCCAGGTTAGAGCAACACACATTGGCTATTTCTGTGATCGTTTCACCACGTTAGAGTGACGGCATTGGCCGTGCATATTGATTGGTGTAACGGGACCAGTCACACACAATACTCGCTCGGTCCACACTATTGTGAACTGAAAATTATAAAAGAACTCTCTATGCTTCTTCAAACACAAGAATATTTGTGCTGTAAAATATGAAATCATGAAAACAATTGCAAAACAACGTTACGCATGCTGCATTATGGCTACTACAAGGTGATTCGTCGGATATGTCTTTGTTAAAGGCACGCAGTGATTTGAATTGGCCGTCAGTGGGAGAGCGAAATGTGAAAGGAAACTTTTTTATTCTCGTTATGTGCTTGTGTTTTGAAGTCTTCAGACGAATAACTTTTTTTATTATTGTAACTTTCACATCCATGTAACAAAAAACTTCGCAAACACTTGTTTGGTCCGATAGCCTAACTGGCTAGTAGAGGGACCGATTGTGCGACATACCTACATACTTGTGCAAGCGGTTACACAGCGACAAAGGACATCAAACTGGATACAATGTTTAAAATAGACAAAAAAAAGCAAAAAACACATGATTGAACTATACAAAAAAACATAGCGCAGAACATAGCTATTTATAGCACAGAATAATAATAGCACTAGATTAATACTAATCATAATAATAATAATTATAATAATACTAAATGACTATGCAGACGTATTACTCAGAAAGTTCGCATGAAGTGCATGCTTCATGGCCAATGAAAAACTTCTAGCCTCTTTCGCATCAGTCGGTATCGCATTCCATATGAGAGCGCCGTGAAATTCTATGAGCCTTCGACCGTAGGCATTTCTGGCTACCGGTAAATTAAAACAGTGATTCGCTGCAGCTCTTGCACAGCGCGCGGGTAACATAAAGTTGCTTAATGGGAATGGGTCATCGCGTTTTATTATTCCATGCACTATATCAGCTACACTAGACACGTGAACAGAGTCCAGTGGAAGTACACGCATCATTTGAAACAGTTGTTTTGCAGTATCCGTCTTGTTTGAGTATGTGATAATCCGGACTGCCCTCTTTTGCAGGCGGCTAATACATTTCAAATGAGTTTTATATGTACTGCCCCACGATGCTATACAGTAGCTCAAGTGACTGTGCAGGAATGCAAAATATAGGATGCGCAAAATTGATCCGCCAAAACATTCACGGGCTTTTAGTAGCGTGGGACACCCATATGCTAGCTTGGAGCATGTCTTTTCTATATGCGATTTCCAGTTCATGTCCAAGTCGAACATGACCCCTAAGTACTTAAACGAGGCTACTGGCTGTAGCAGTGCCGTATGTAAAACCAAGTTAAAACCTGCAAAGTCGAGTTCTTTTTCCTAGAGTGAAAGACCATGTATTTAGTTTTCTCTGTGTTGATATTTAGGTGATTTCGTTTAAACTATACTTGTACTCTCTGTAACTCTTCGTTAATGTTATCTTCGATGTCTCTTAAGCTGTCACCAACAAAGATTAGTGCCGCATCATCTGCGTACAATAAAGCTTCTGAATTTCTGAATATAGTAGGATGGAGGGAAAATCGTTAACGTACAGGGATAAAAGAGTTGGTCCGATAACTGAGCCTTGTGGTACCCCAGAGACTATTGATTGAGTAGAGGACTCGACACCATTCATCACTACTCGTTGCTGTCGGTCGGATAGGTATGATTTGAGAAGCTGGTGAATCTTGCCTCGAAAACTGTAGTCATAAAGCTTACTTACCGTAATTACTCGAGTCTAACACGCACCTTTTTTCCGGTTAAGCGAGTTCATAAATCGCATGCGCGTTAGAATCGAGTACGAAAAAAAAAAATACGTTTAATCTATTGCCATCGGCAAATCCAAAATGGCCGCCCCCTACGTGCGTCGGCATGGCGCGTCAGCCATTTCTGCCCACGACCTCCTCTATAAACTTTATAGAGGAGGTCGTGTTTCTGCCTATGTGTTTCCCATGTGCGGCACTTCGTACGTGTGCTGAGGAGTTCGTCATCTAGTAGTGCATTAGCATCGACGGCGTGGAAGGGCCGACTCCAAAAACTCGAGTGCACCACGATGCCGCTTTTAAAAGAAAAGCCATCGCGTGTGCGGAAACGGACGGAAATCGGGCCGCATCGCGGTCGTTCGGAGTTCCCGAAACGTGCGTGCGGGATCGGCGGAAACAAACGCAGAAGATTGTCGACAGCAAAGCTTCACGCAAAGGCTTCAGAGGACCACAGCAGGGTCGGTTTCCGCAAATTAAAGAGCTGCTCGGCGAGTATGTGCTTGAGCGGCTGAGCGGCCCGTGACGACAGAACTGCTCCAAGTGCGGGCTATGCAATTAACCTTAGAAAAAGGTCTAACGCGGAGCCGGTTTAAAGCGAGCAGGTGCTGGCCAACTAACTTTATGGAGAGGAAAGGCTTTTCCCTCCGAAGGCGAACGGGCATATGCGAAAAGTTTTGCGGAGGAGTACGATGAAAAGCTTCACAGTTTTCAGAGGTTCGTCCTAAACTTGCGGCGCAACAACGGCTACCTGCTTGGGCAAATCGAGAATGCCGATCAGACGCCTCTTTACTTCGACATGCCTGGCACCACAACCGTCGAGAAGGGGGCGAAGCAAGTTCGCGTGCTGACATTGGTCTACGGTAAAACTACAGTGACGGCAATGCTCTGTTACACGTCAGATGGGCACAAGCTTCGCCCGTACCTCATATTTAAATGGAAGACGCTCCCGAAAGGAGAATTTTTTCGAGTGGTGTGATCGTGCGGGCCTGCGAGAAAATGGGTGCGCGTTGCAATCGATGTCTTATGTTTTTTTTTTTTTTTTCCGCGGTGGAAATCGGGTGCGCGTTACAATCGAGGGCGCAGTAGAATCGAGTAAATACGGTAACATGATGTTGTGGTTGACGGAATCGAAAGCTTTTCTTATGTCTAAAAAAACTACGACGGCTATCTTATTGTTGTTCAAGGCTTTGTTAACTTGTTGGGTTAATACCAAAACTGCAGTAGATGTAGATCTGTGTGCTCGAAAACCATGCTGGTTTGAGCAAATTATATTATGTTTGGATGTAAATGATGTTATCTGCACTGATAGAATTTTTTCAAAAATTGTATTAATTACACTTAACACAGATATTGGTCTGCAATTTGATGCACTTGATTGGTCTCCATCTTTTTATACAGGGACGACTTTGCCCAACTTAAGCTCATTCGGGTATATACCACAGTCCTGCCAGTGTTGAAACATGTGCAGCAAATGGTCTGCCAGAATGTCTATGTTATATTTTATTAATTTAACTGTAATAGCATCGAGCCCAGCCGCTTTATTGGCGTCTAGTTTTTTTTACTATTGACATGATATGGGACATTTCTATCTCAAATATGGCAAAACTATCAGAAACTGGTCTAATGGGACGCGTGTGGTCTGTAGTGTCAGGAAACTGAGCAGCCAAAGCACGCCCGACGTCTGCAAAATACTTGTTAAAGCGATCCACCGTGTCTTGAGTTATGTCATCAGGCAGTACACGTTTATCTGAGTCAAGACCAACAGCGGATTTTGCTATTTCCCAAATTCGCTTAGTGTTGCCTCCAGCCTCTTCGATAAGCTTAGCATAGTATTCTTTTTTTCGTTTCCTCATTAGGGTGACTGACTTGTTCCTATAGCATTTGAATTGATTTAAGTAGTAGGCATTGGTTCTCTGCTGCTTCCATTTGTGATACCAATGGTCTTTTTGTTTCAATATTTCTAGAATACTAGGTGTCATCCAAGGGCAGAGTGGCTTGGCGTACTTACTACTAGTTGTGGTGGTGCTTAGTGACACAGCATTTTTGAGAGAGCATATGAAATTACTGTATTCTATATTTACATCCTCGTCATACATAGAGCAGTAATCGATTTGACTTATTTTGTCTCGTAGTAACTTATAGTCAATGTTTGTTGTTAATTTTCCCCTAGAAGGTTCGTATTGAGAGGCTCATTTATAAGGGCAACAAAAATAGGCAAGTGATCGGCAATCGGAACAGGAAGCACACCAGCATGCACATCATTGCCAACATTGCAGAGGGCGTGATCAATAAGAGTACATGACGTGTTAGTGATACGCGTTGGCTCATTTATGACATTACACAAGTTAAAGGATTTTAAGAGGAGCGTGTACTCATTCGAGGTATCGGGTGACAGGTCAATATTAAAGTCTCCAACAACTACAATATTATTGTAGTGCATGTAGGAAACTCCCATAAGCACAGACTCAAATTCCTTCAGGAACGCTTTGATCGAACAACCGGGCGGGCGGTATACAACGCCAATAACTGGCTCTTTTTCCATTTTGATAAACAGAGTTTCTATAGTTGCGTTGGTAACAGATGCATCAAGCAAGACATTGCACGCATTATTGTCCTGTATAAACAACGCAACACCACCTCCTCGCGCACGCGAGTTGCGTGGCTGCGATAGTAGCCTGAATCCCTGCATACTCAATGTTTCATCAGCCTTCAACCATGTTTCACTCAAAGCAATAATATCGAAACCAAAGTCTAACCGTGCTATATAGGTGACCAGATTGTTTAAATTCCTGCGTAAACTTCGAACATTGCAGTGGAAAACCGAGAACTTGTTACATTTCTGTTTTTTTATATATGAAGGATTAAGCATATTTATAAATACAGAACTTAACTGAACACGAGCACCTACGAAATCTTGGCAAGGTCACCTTCAGATTGAATATGTTCAACCGCCGAGTTCTCAGCTTTTCTCATTAGAATCCAGCCCTGAGACACCCATGCAAACTACCACTTTTTCTCTGCTTTCACCTGTCGAGCTTTCCTGAACAGAATCTTATTTTCTAGGCAGAGATGCTCATTGACATAGATGGGATCATTATGCTCTAAAGAAAGGTGACTCGTATTTAGCCTCGTCTTCCTAGCTGCAGTCAGAAATTTGTCTCAGGATGTCCTGGTTGCAAATCTTACCACAACATTTGGTTTATCTTTATCTCTGGATGGGACACGATGTGCGACATCAATGTATCCATCGGACATCTCGATTCCCAGACAGGTGGCCATTTTACCCACTGTCGCCTTTAGATTTTCATCTGCGGTTTGTGGAAGCCCTATGATTTCCACGTTCATGTTCCTTCCATGCTGCTTAAGTTCAATAATCTCCTTTTTAGCGTCAGTCAGTTGTCTAGCCATCTCTTGGTTTTGTTTCACAATATCTTTGTTTTGAGTCCTCACCTCTGTTAGTTCCCTTCGAAAGTTCGCAACATTTTTCTTAAGCTCTTCAAAGGCCATATTCATGAATTTGACAGATTCACGCATTTTCCCGACCTCGACATTAATTTCTGAGTTTGAGTCTTCAATCTTATCAACCTGAGCTATGATATGAACTGCGAAGGCATCAAGCTTAGTGGCCAAATCACTGATGACTTTGACGACCTCTTTGATACTAGTAGGAGCCTTCTCAGAAAGCGCCTTCGATACGTCATTAATACGACCAGTAGGTGCGCCTGCCATATAGCTAAGAGAGCCGAGCTACAGCTCTGTAGCAAGTTACCCCAAAACAATGCAACACTTCACAAAAGACACCACACAATCGCCTATGGTAGCGGTAGCATCGGCACTGGACGGTAGGCAACAAAAGGTGCACACCAACCTGAAAAACAGACGAGCGCTGTTAGCCTGCGTCCGTGAGCCGCCGACGCCGCTGCCAAAGTGAGCAGCTCCACACCCACCAACCACCGAAGATAAGATTTGAGAGCTGCGTCCGCTGTTCACAGATGGCGGGAGCAGCACTGACGTCCGTGCGCGGCAAGGACTATGCTTTGATTTCCAGAAATGGGCCGTGTCGCGCCAAAGGATGTCGTCAGACCGTCGATGCACGCCAGCCAGTAATTGCAGTCGGGCCCGAATCCAAGGCAGCACGACAAGTCCTCTCTTGGAACGTCGAAATGCCGGTCGCCAACTGAAAAACAGACGAGCGCTGTTAGCCTGCGTCCGTGAGCCACCGCCGCCGCTGCCAACTTTCATTACCATGCATCAATTCTGATAATTAATATTGCATACATCTCAGTATTCAGCACTGCAAGCATCTTATCACTGCAAAAAAGCATTGCAGGGCGATTTCAAAGGGGCCCCACAACACTTTTCCAACAACGTGAGAAAACGCCCCCATTGGTAGTTGGGGCTAATGTGAACATGTGAGCCAAATGTTGTAACGGTGCAAGGCATTTACAATCAAGTTTCAAAAACAACTAAAAATCGCTCACTGCTCTTTAGTGATTTCCTATATAGACTGGCCCAGCTACAGTGACACCTTAACGATTTAGTGTCCCTAGGACTATAAAAGATCTTTAAATTAAGTGGGTTTTTAAATTAACAGAACATACAAAAAGGGAGATGCAAAGAACTTTAAATTATTTATAAAGTAATCAGAGAATTAGAAGTGGCTGTCGAGTTTACGGCTCCAAGGATTATGTGCCCAGCAATACCTGGTCCCAATTTCGCCGCAAACACGGGCCACTCCAGGTCTCGCTGCTGCCAGTGAAAAAAACAGTGTGGTCAGGGGAAATGTGGCCTGCGAAAAAGGTGTGCTTCACTGCAACACTGTGAAACGCCGGCAGCATGTCTCTGCTGCGTCAGCGCTTCATGATGCTTCCGTTTGCCCAATTTTTCTGGTAAACCTTGATGAGGGCCAGTGTGACGGAATTCACAGTGTCGAACATCATTGAAGGCTTGCGAGTTCTCGAAGTGAGCGATGCAGGCAAAAATTTGGCCAGCAGGGCAAGTTCGCAAATTGCGCTTGGAAATTTATTTTCCAAGCGTAATAATGCTGCTCGCGTGTACTGCTGTGTTGCAGTGAAGCATATCTTCCTTTCTGCAGGTGCACTCCTGGCTGGAATGCTTCACCTGTCACTAGTACGCTTGCATTGCCTGTCACTAGTATGCTTGCATTGCCTTGTGACTTTTGAGGGCCGTCGTTCCCAGGCATTTTCGGCGAAATTGGAATCTGGAATTAGCACACTGCACCCATAGTTTTTGAATTAAACCGATTAGTGCTGGTCCCCACTTCAAATTATCCTTTCATAATTACATTGCAAAACACTGTGACCCCAGAAATCTTTAGGATTAATTGGAATAGCAGAGTTCAAATTGATGAGGTTTTACTGCACATTAGTGTCGCCTTGCTTAATTTTTTTCTTTGTAATTGTGTCCATCCAGGACGTGATGATATGCAGATGTGTGAACTCAAGCTTGAAGAGACCGGCCTGGCCCGGAAACGAGGAGCCGAGATCTTGGAGCACGATTTTGATGCTGAGTGGGCAAAGCATGGCGGGCCAGTCTACGCTCCACTGTCCACAAGGCAGAACAGCATCTGTAAAAGCTTGGATCAAACTTGAGTGTCGCTATTTTTTAGATCTCATCGATAGAACAGTTCGTAGGCCACTGTAGTGTTTGGTTGCAGCACTTTTGCTATTGCTTTCGCTTACTACTTGCTTGAATGCATCCTTTTCTTTGTACCTATGCATAACCCTTTTTTTCCACAGCTGTCTCTATTTGCTACTTCAAAAGCCTCAACATTGACAGAGTGTTCGTGGCCACCTTTAGCTCTGGAAGTTTTTGTTTGTTTTCTTTGTTGTTGTTGTGGTTTTTTTTTTTTTTTTTTTTTTTTTTTTTTTTTTTTTTTGCCAGTAGCTTACTGGGCAGCTAACTCCACAACTTTCATTTCAGTGCTTTCAAAAAGCTTGGTGATTTGTTGCAAGATATTTATGACATCAGGAATCTCGGTGCTATCTCTATTATTACTAGTGCAATTGATTATTTGAATACAGCCTTTTATAAGGACATATATTTGCACGCTCTTGTTGTACTCGGTTGTGGTTCCTTTTATTTTACCGCATTTTGTTTGTGCATTTTCCTAAGTGATACTCTGTTAATGTTTTCTGGCCCAACTGTCTCACTCTGACCACAATAAAGAACTGTGTGGGGGCTAAATATCCCAGCCGCTTCAATGGCCTTGTATACTAACAAGTTTGTATGACAAGAGCCGGTATGAGTGTGGCAGTGGTGTTCTACATGCACTAAAGAGCTCACACAGGCAAGCAAGTGCAAAAGTGGTTACATCTGCTATGTCAATGTTGACACTCACTAGTTAGGAAGCTGGAAAAATGAATAAAACATAACAGCAATATTGCGGATTGTTCAAAAGTGGTGTAGCACAGAATGGACCTTTTTCATAAAGCTAGCTTTCCTGTTATGCAGTTGGTCCTACTATTGGCAGCCAGCCTCTTGCTACTAAAATCAGTCTATTTGGGCACAGTTTGTACTATGACATGGAAAATAGCGACTCTGCTGTTTTGATGTAGACAGAGAGAATATACAAGTCCCAGTGCTTGCAACTGGGACCTCGTTTCCACTTGATGCCCCGCCGGTGTCGACATTAGTAGACAAATATGCATTGTAGAGAAGCGCACTTGCAGATTAGGAAAATCTTCTATTTTACTTTTTTTGCCTGAGTTATTGCAGGCTGAGCCGGTGACCGACCATCCAAGGACACGTCACAATGAGTTGCGCAGAGTTGCTGATGGTCATCAGGCACCACACTACCATTTTTTATAGCACTATGGTGTTGTGTCAAGACTGACGTAAATTGCAGGCTGATTTTCTAGGCTGCCGTGACTAAAAGGGCTCTGTGTCAATTTCGCCACCTAGCAAAGAGCCCCAGCTCTTAGAATCTGCACTATATGCAACGAGGGGCTGTAGTGTGTTAATATAACATAATTTACTGCTTTGAGCTGATACATGTCCTTTACATGCTGTGTTCCTTAAGGGTACCACACCATGGTGTTGCCTTGCATTAAGACTTGCTTGAAAGTAGCGCTTACCCTTGCTTTCATGGTGTTGCCCAAGTTTACATAAGCCACAAGTAGCCTGATCTCGGTGCTTGCTAACAAGGGAGCGGGGACCCCCTTTTGTCAACCAAAGCAAAAGGCCAGCCCTCTCTGTTGAACCATATTTTGCTTTTTTTTTTTTTTCCTACGAGACATTGTGGAGGCTGAAAAACACTCCAAAATGGAAGGGCACTTTAACACACCTCCTACGTCCTGCAGATCTTCTCACTAGTCCAGCCTTATTCCACCCAGGTGCGACTGAGTCAGTCACCTATTGCCCAAAAAAGGGTCATTTGAGGTGTCGTCTTCAACGTCTAATCACTACGTCATCAGTGGATGTTGACGACTTTTAACGCAATAGCGTTAAAGAGCTCGTTTTTCAGAAATTTCGGCGTCGGCGGTTTTGAGAGACAAATCCTCATCTTATACGTGACCGAAAAATCAAGAGCGATGCAAATAAAATAAATAAATGATAAAAAAATCCTCGAGCAGAGTGGGGAACGAACCAGGGTTGTTTGGGTCCAAGTGGGGATCAAATCCGGGTCGTTTGCGTAGCAAGCAGATGTGCTACCACGCGGCCATGCCTCTGTTTATGAAAACAGTGAAAAGAACTTCCTCTGCTTGTAAATACAGTAAAAGTAGCTTTCATGCTTCACAAACACACTCATCGTATGTTCATGCTTCACAATGCAACATGAAATATTGCAGTAATGATGCGTGGTACAAGCGTGATAAAAGTGCTGTTCCAATCGCTCCAAACTGCTCCGAAAGAGAAATGCTGCTTCATGCTGCTCTAAAGTGCAATATTTGCTAGTAACTGCTCTAAACCTGCTCTAAAGTGGTTTTGAATGATGGGAACAATCCCGTGAACCTAAGGAAAACTGTAAGCAAGCTGCATGCTATCATTCTAGTATGCTACTCAGTGGCGTAAATACAGAAAAATCACAAGGGGTGACACAAATCAGGTCATGCTGACCAATTCATATTTTTTACATCGGTTGTAGTTTTATTTATATAAGAATTAAATCATGCTTTCAAATAGAATTTAAAAAACGAGTGTCAGGTCTAAGATCTAGCAATTTCATAGTTCTATTCAGTCTCTTTTCATTCACCTCCTTGCTGATTTCCATAGTTCACACAGCTCAGGGGCATATAATACAGCTACACAGAACGGATAAAAAGCTTTTTAAAAAGTTGACTGCACTTAACTGTCAACTCAATTTTATCACATGCTGCAGCTAAATCTCAAGGGGGACACTTGCAAGGGCTGTCCTCCCCAGCCTGAATGCAAGAAAAGTCCAAACTCCCTTGACCCTTCCCCCCCTCCCCCATTTGTTATGCCAATAATGCTGCTATACGGCTTAAATACTAGCTGCATACTAGCATATGGCATGTGTAACAATAATTATAAATATTTATTAGATGCTTAAGTGATGTTTTAGATTTGAGGAGTCGTTAGGAACACGCATCTGCTCTGAATACACCAATAGCAATCCCTAGCTATAGCATTCGTTTCTGCTCCGAAGACAGTTAAGGCTGCTCCAAAGCACCATTTTTTCTGCTCCAGAGTGTGCTCCAAAAAGAAAAATGTCGCTTCCATCACTGCCATTGCCAATGAGCATCAGAATATGCGATTATCATTAGCCGGTACCCCACTACACAAGGCACACTTGCTACTGTTCCGATTCCCTTAAGGCCACGCAGTGGGTACATAGCAAATTCTAAAAGGTTTCATGCACTAAGGAACAGGATGTCGCATTCAACTCCTGAAGGTGAAGCTTTAGGGTCCTCTAATTTGTTAAGGTGGGGGCGCACTGTTCATTACGCATCTGTCAGCACTAGAAGGTTTGCGAGATTCTATCCACCGTGGGGAGGGAATAGAGTGGGCCCCGACATTATTCTAGCTCACTGAAAAGCACCAGTTCTTCCACTGATGTCATGTAGGCACTTGCACTACATGAACCTGCTGAACACGTAACTCCTGATCTAACTAGGCACATTACGAGTAAAAAGTGTTGCTTACAGAACTCTAACAGATTTACTGAACAGAATTCTGTAACAATGTTGTGGCGCCATACGCACCAAGCTGTCTGAAGGTGTATACACAAGCATTCGCACAACTTTAAAAAGGTGACCCAGAGTTGTATTCTGAGCACCAAAAAGGCTGTCTAAGCTGCACAGGCAAAGATGCTGCAGGTTTGTGGCACAAAGCACAGGAGTCTCTGTTCTTTGGGACTGCCCCGAATTATTTGAAGCTCGTCATTTTCACTGGTATAGCGCACCACAACAAGGACACACACAACGGAGAGATGCACACAACACAGCGCTGTGTTGTGTGCATCGCGCTGTGTTGTGCCGCAGGCCTTCAAGGAAAAAGGCTTTGCTAGTAAACAAATGATTGAAACAAAGCACACGCATGGTAAACCGTGATGCTTCTCAACTAGTATAGAGCTTTCTACTAAAGGTACATATAGCAAAGGGGCAATTGGCTATTCACGATTTCTTTAAAAGCTTTATCAGCAGTAAATGGCCAATAAGCTTGTGTACCTTACACCTCTGCTTTGTGTTCATTGCATGCCGTTAGGGTTTAAAAATACTCAAGGGGGAACACGGGTTGCGACGAAAAATCGCGTATTGCGTCTTTAGATCTACAGCTACTAGTGCACTTATATTGTGAATTTCATCCCTAATATATCATTATTTTAGCCGCTAAGACATTTTATACGACGCTTTCTAGCTAAATATGAGCCAAAACCGACGTTGAAATCGCACATTTTTCGTGACGCGCCCCTGCCCTTTCATGTGTGCCAGCGCCGCCCGCTTGGTCTCATTTGAGAGAGCAGTCTTTCGTTTCCGATTCCCGCCAAAATGGGTCCAATTCAACCATTGGCAGCTTGTAAAATGAGCGTCAAAAAGAAGTATCAGAGCGCCTTCCTATTCGCTACTTCGCGAACGAGACTTGAGCTGGCCTCCCTATTGGTGGAGGCTCCTGGCTTCGTCTGCTCCGGGTGTTGAGGCTTGCGTCCATGCACGCCATTTTGCCGCAGTGTCAGCGGAGAAGTTTCACGATGTCAAATCCTGAGCGCAAATTCCGCACGCGGTACAAGTTTGGTGCGAAAAAGGCGCGAAGGACGCTAGTAGCGAATTTCAAGAAGTGCTCTGTGTACAGCCAAACTCCCGAGACGCTACACTCTCCGCGTCCCATGGCAAAGTCGTCGACACTACCACGGAAGGCCTAGCTACCGCATCAGTTGTCACAAAGCCTGTGCAAAGTCCGTCGGCCGCAGAGCCTTCGAGCAGCGGTCGCGTGCTTCTAGATACTATCTATCAGCAGCAATCTGACTTGGAAGAGGAGCGAGCTAAAGCCGAAGATAAATTATCAGAGTTGTCGTCCGCTGCAGTGACGGAGCGGAAACGCGCATTCGTGGTTGACGGTGCCGACGAAGTAGCTCGGCCGCCTGATGGAACCACGTTCACAATTATAAATTTGCACACAATGAACAGCGCTTCGTCGGCATTTGCAAAGTGCAAGGCATGCAACAAAGAACTGCAGATTGTCCGCGAGGACCGGAAATTCAGACTCGCCAAGAAGTTGCGTTTTGTGTGTTCGAACTGTGTGGAGACTGCATCGTTGCGGAGCTCGCTGCGCGTACGTAGCGATGAACGCATGAAACCTTTTGCTGTGAACGTTTTGGCCACGCATGCTATGCAGGCAACAAGGAACAGACAGACTGCTCTGAATGATGTATTCTCGTTGATGGGCATCAGCCGTCGGGGTCTTCACACAAAAAAATGGCAGCATATCCACGGAGTGAATGATGGAGAGTGGGGCGAAGCATTCGTCCGTCCATGCGTCCGTCTGTGTGACCGTCCATGCGTCTGTTTGTGCGCCCGTCCCTGCATTCTTTCATGCATCCGCCCCTGCGTCCGTTCATGCGTCCATCCATGCATCTGTTTGTGTGTCCGTTCGTTCATCTATTCAACACTCCAAGTCCCACTATCTCGCATCTTTTTATCATATATTCCTCATATAGAAGCACCGCCATCCAGCGGACATTCCAAGGACTAAACGAGAGGTGGCACACGCACACTTTCTTACGGCCTGCGCTTTGGGTCCACTTCCCACCTTTAACCACCTCGAGTTCATGGTATATTCTAGTTCACTGTATTCATGGCACTGCGACCAAACGCTCGCTAAACCTTTCGAAAACCAAGGAGGTTACGCCCAGCGAGTATAACGTAGCAACCTTTCCCTGTCAGATAGGGCTCAATTTACATGCCAATGGCTGCTAAT